ATCCTCGCCATATACATGAAGCAAAGTGTCAAAGACTGGTTCTTCATTTACCATTCACAGGATAATTCGCAGAAAAAGTACAGCTCAAGGGAAGAGAATATAAAAAAAAACTAGCGCCATTACTACCGTACAAATAATTTCCCTACTAAAACAAAAATCTATTTCTTTAACAAAACAAATATGTCATAAGAGTTTCTACAGATTACGGCGGGAACGCCAATTGAAACATCGGCTAGAATTTGGTCATAAACATCCCTTAACTACTGCCCCGGATCAAATGATTAATTATTTTACAAGCTATAAAATCGTATTTGGTATAATAATTCGCAACATATAGTTATGTGTTAGAATATAACAACAAACCAGCAGTTCAGCAGCTTTGACTTTCTGATCTGATTCCAGCAATTTTCGAAATTTATAATACCGATGCAGAAATACAAAAGATGATGAAAGAAGCATCACTTCTGTAAAATGTTCAACAACAGTGATGGAAGAAAACTGATCCGGAGAACACCGTGATATCACTTGGTCCGCAACAGTAGAAACAATTTCGATATCACGTGATCGTATGGCCCATGAGAGAGCACTGCCCCATCGCTCTGCACGCAATAGCCTGCAAATGTGGCAGCGAAAAAATTACAATTCTTGTACTGGGACGTCAGATCTAACCCGATAATGTGGCATATAATACGAGAAGTGATGATGAAAATGACATTAAATTACATGAAACTTATAACCTGATTATGTTTACCTGTAAGCCATAGCTCGTGCAATATCCTTTCGTGTCTGATTAAGACCTACTTCATCGCATAATGAACATAACTTCGTAGCAACAGTTTCGTTATCCAGAGGTACTTCTGCTATCAATAACTCTAAGTGACGCAATCCCTCATCACCAGTTTCCCGAAGATAATCAAATCCCACTTGCCATAATCTGAAATTATTTGTTAAGGAATCTAAGTTACCAAACATTTCCCGGCTCTTTTTTCCTTTATCTGGAAAAACTATCAAAACTGGATATATCATATGCAAGGAAAGCAATTGTTTGGTACTATTAACTTCAAGGGGTACACCCCGCTATACATACATTGCTAGATGGCTCAAAAGACCATAAATAACTTGCAGACAATCAACGCAACAAATGATGAAAGCCTAAAGTTGTTAAAGTATGAGAAATTCAGTGATCGGAATGTTCCGGTCATCCTAATGAGTTTGGTATTTCATGGATTCAATTTTTAACTTTTATTCAACTTTTTCCTTAACAGCGAAAGAAGCGGAAATGTACCCAGGTTCACTAAAGAGTGATGATCCATATTCAATAATCAAGTGCTGACGTATATCCATGCCGTAAGCACTTGTTATTCGTTCATCCGCTTTTTGTAACAAATCTGCCAGATGAGCCGGAAACCACCAGTTGGTGCTTGAAGTTGAAATTCTATGAAGAGCTCGCAATGCTTCCAATGAAAAAAGCTCACACATTACAGCATCAATTCCATTACATTTACTGATGCCGAAAATTTTTAAACAATCCTGCAAAGAATTTCGCATTCCAAGAAAAAAAGGAACTATCTCGACAGAATAAGCATTTTTCTCCTGCTCGTTTTTTTTTCACATTTTAAAAAACCTAGTCTGAAAATAACCTTTCATTCTATTTACCTTCAGCAGAATCAGTAGTAAACATAATCATTTATGCTTCGAAAATTTTTAGACGTGAGCACGCCATGCATGCATAACGGTATGCCCATTAATTAGCCAAATTAATGGGAGATACTGTTACTTCGAGTGAAAGTCATAATATTAACAACAACAAAACTTGGTACATTTGAATTTCACATACCTTAACAACATCCTTAAGTTGAGGAAGAGTAGCACATGGTCGAACGAATAATAAATATGGTGGTACCAATTCAAACCAATTGTCCAACTGAGCTGAAACCGATGTTATGGTTGAAATGTCACCAGCAACTATCATAGCTACTTTTTCAGCATCAGCATTAGTTCGGAAAAACCCGCTTGTACACATATCACGTACTTCCTGAAAGAATGAAAATATAATGCTTCCTCAAGAATTTTTTAATGCTTTTGAAGGAAAAAGAAAGAAAAAATTATCAAAATAATAAATATCAGTTACTCCCAATACTATTGTTCACTTGATTTAAAGGTTTTCTTTTTTTATACCTCATTTTCTGAATTTCTGGAAATTCTAATATGATTCCTTTTCAAGTATATTCACCTCCTGTGCACTGATAAAATCCAAAGCAGTATTTTCATCATTCAGCAGATCCATTCTTATTTCGGAAAGCACTTTGGCCAAGCGTCGTACGGCATCATCATCACACAAATTACCGTATGTTTCCAGAAAAGTAACTGCATTGTTGAACATACCACTAAGGACAAAATAGATAACCTGAAAATCTGAAGTAAAACTCCCACCATATTGAAGAAAAAGAAATAAGCGGGAAATCCCAGGTAATCGTGCAATGATTAACTTCCCAAATGTTCCCATCAATCAAAAAAAAGAAAAAGAAAACAAATACAGAATACTAGGCCTGTAATAGGAAGATCATTATTTTTCATCCTTTTACTTAAAATTTCAAGAAAAATATAGTTCTTCCTTATTTTTCTACAACCAAGCATCACTTTTCGATAAAAATCAAAGAGCTTGAAGTGTCAAGACTTGAATAAATACCTGATGCCAAAAATGTTGCTTGTTGAGTCTTTTTATTTTGCTGCCGCGAAGTAAGTTGGAAATTTCATCAACATATGGAGTATGTGCTAAGCACAAACGAGCCCAAGTCATTAGGTCAACCACAATAGATGAATCTTAAGCAAAGCCATTCAGATCTATTAATGAATGATATTTAAAAGATATTTTAATTTTACAAGTTAATAAATGATTTTTTTTCCCTCGAGTTCCTCAAACATTATTCCCAAGCAGAAGGGGCATAGATAACACGAGTAAAAACTATTCCAAGATATCGAGACTCCAATGTTCATATTACATTTATTTCAAGCTATTTCTTATTAACATGAACAAAAACATAGATAACTACGTTTTTTCTTTTTTTTTTGTTCTAGTATTTTACGCACCATGAGTTTTGATGAAAATGGCCTCAACAAGCGACCAGATAAGCTCTGCTGTGGTAAGTGACTCTTTAATTTCAAATTCTGATATAGGAATTGTTGAAAGCGTTGATCGAATAATGGAACGATACTGTAAACTATATGACAGCACGCTGGAATTTAAATTACTTTTTAATTATTGAAAATTTCAAGAAAAAATATCACACCAATAAAGCCTATAACAGCACTGGAAAAAATGATAAATTTAAAGCATCTTTTTTAGCAACTCTAAAATCCCATCATAATTCGATTATGACCACAGCCCTGATAACCATTGAAATTGTTCATACTTGGTAACTCATAACAGCGAGGCTTTAATATACGACTTTACCCTTTTCTCCCTTGTCCTCTCCCTTCCTCGCTATCCTCCAAAGGAGCAAGTGAAACTATGCGCTTTATAGGAGTTATAACTGATTCCGGAAGTGGTAAGATAAGACCCAGGTCTCAATCCTGCATTCCAACTTTAAGGAAAATCTAACAACGTAAAAATCAAGCAGCATAACTTACTCAGACACTGTGAGTGTGACGACTTTTGCATTATGTTGTGCGCGAGAGAAGATGGCTGGAAAGAAGAAAAAGTCATTTTTTCAAAATGAAAATTAGTATTATCAGAGGGAGAAATTTTCGATTTCAATTTTAAATTTCAGAAATAAGTTCGCATAAAACACTCACAGTGTGATTCGTGAACAAGTAATTGCATTGCTGGATGTTTGAAGACTGTCTGATTGATATGTTTTATGGAAACTGCC